TGCGTTGCGTCTGTGGCTTTTCAGAGTGAACTATGGCAACACGTGTCATCGTGCTGAGCTTTTGTTTATGTCAAAAGGGACAGAGAATTCTGAAAGGCCTTTTTCTTCCTCTGATTATTGTTAATCTCAATCAGGACTTGCTTCAGAGTGACAAAACAGCAAGCCTATGTTAGGTTTTGCTATTGAAGAGACACTACTGAATTTTAACAAACTTTTCTGGGACGAATTGGTTCTCCTCTTGTTGTTAAGTTCCCAGCCCGAAAACAAAATCCACTGCCATTATTATGCTGTGTTTTTCTTTTTAAGGTTTAGAGGTCATTAGAGTTTCTTTCACATGGAGAGACCGATATTCGTGTTTCCAATATTCCCTTCTTTGGGTGTTCCCTTAACATGCATCATGCAAGATCAAAACGTGGGTATATCCAAAGTTGCGTTACAAATTTAAAAGAAAGCAAACTATCCCTTCAGTAAAAAAGGAATACAACTTGGGGAACTTCAAATTTCATCAATGACAAGAAAATATACAATTAAGTGGGGGAGGGGGGGGGTTTAAGGAGGTGGGGATTATTTTGTTTTTAAGCCACAAATTACAAGAAATTATGCAAAACTTCACAATACGACATCTAAGCCCGATATTACATTTCTGTATAAACACAGTGTAGAATTTCTGTTATTAAAGAAATTTATTAAGAAGTTAACATGGTAAAAGGGCAGTCACGTAAAACATATTTCAAGTTTAAATTTCTTTAACAAAAGGTAAAAATATAACTCTTTTGAAAGGGTTGGGCGAATCAAGAAAGCAAAGGGAAGGCATTGTGCTAAAATAATAATGATAAATGAAAACGCACGGAAGAAAATTTAGACACAACGGTCTGGTCAACTACCTTGTTCCTGACACAGTATTATATAATAATGTGATAAAAAGTAACCACAAAGTCCTTTTTGGTCCACAAAGCCAGCGAATAGTTAGTCCATACTACTCCTTACCGCGCTGAGAGGGCGTGGAGTGACTTCGTGGTGGTTGTTTGGGGGAGATCTGTGGGTCACGTCGTCCAGGTACAGTGTCTTTATTATGAACTCCACACAATTTGGTGCCACAATGCATAGTACCAGCCACGCCACTTCTTCCAGGGAAGGGTATTTATTTAAGGGGGCGGCGGGTGCCCGTCTAAGGGAATGGGGGAGGGGGTGGGGTGGGTGGTAGAAAAAGTTGGATTTTCACCTTCTACGGAATAACGACCTTTCAAAACAAGTGGGCACTGGTCTAATAGTTACAAACATTAATTGAAAGTGGATATTTTCTATTTTCTTTTTTTTAAATATTCATCTTATTTATTTATTCTTACTTATTCATTTATCTATTTATCTATTCATTTATTTGATTATTCATTTATTGCATTTTTCTCGATATAGAATAATTCGAGACACAAAGAAAAGAAATGAATGGACAATATTACAGATCCTCGTAGAGAGATATGTTTCACAAATAGGAACAGAAAAATCAATGTGATGCATAACATTGTAACAAATTCAGCTAGTTAGACAGTATCCCTTGTCACAAAGACTCGCTTTCGAACAACAGTTAACGAAACTTGCTCAAAACACATTAAAAGCTGTTGTCACTTTATATTATGAGAGATTAGCGAGTTATTGAAATTACAAGTCCAGCACTTTTATATTTACATAATTAACTTCATTTTATTGTTCATTATCACAAATACAACCAGGAACATTTTATGTTTCTTTCTGAGGACTCATTATATGATGTGCACAGGTGCGTGTATTTTGTTAGTGTTTGTGTAAACACATTATATTGTGTCTGTTTGAAAACTTGCAGCAGGTGGAGCTGTGGACTAGGAAAAAAAGGGTCAAGGGGGTTTCAGCAAAAGACCCAGAAACACTATTTAAAAGGAGTGGGAAAAGTCTCATCCATGTTGAGTAAAATACTATCAGAAATTTTTAACATCAAATATACTAGACAAGGGAATGAAACTCAGGAGCGTTCTGCGTGTAAGGAAAAGTACCTGGCCATTACAGTCCAAACACAAGCATTTAAAGAAGTCTTCGTTTAAATCATTGTATGAATCTTGAATATCACAAAAGCAGATCATCAATGGCAGAACGACCTGTACCATAGAAACCATTGGATCAAACTCTTAGGTATTCAGAAAGTTTATTTAAAGGCGCAACAGAAGATTTTTAAAATTAATGTGACCGACAAAAACAAAGGAGTTGATTGTTTGAGTGTCTGTGTAAGTGTGTGTTTGTGTGTGTGTGTGTGTGTGTG